GAGACGAAGCATGAAGAAATGCACAGGGCCATTAGGTAGCGTAGGTGTCTCTCGCCTTCCAGGTTGGGGTCCGAAAGGCTCCACGACTGGTTGTTTGGAGACACTGGAAGATATGGCAGCAAACCGGCAGCAGTGGTGTTCTTGTTATCGTTTCTTAACAGGTCAGAATGCTTGAAAGGGTATCTATGCAAATTTGGATTGCGTAATCCGTGTGTTGACGATAGAAATTCACCTTCTTCTCCCTCCCTCAAAATAGATCCACTCCCTGTCCACCTTAAATTTTACCAATAACCTTGTATGCATTGCGAGTTTGGCAGCGATCAGCGAAGTTCGCTTTACTGTATTTCGCTGCACGATGTTGATATACAGGGAATGCAGAAGAGTATCCACAAGAGCAATCATAATTCACTTCCCAGACACCGGGCTCCAAGCTTTATATTGCAGGGGAACCAAGCTTGGCTTTGGTGCTACATCAAATGGCTAAATGCAGCGCAGTTTATATTAGATTGAACTGCTGGTGAGAGGAAAATGCGAATGGAATCAGAGTTTAGATAGCGATGATGTAATTGCGATAATTGGTTTGCTTGTTGTTTGTGAGTGTGTTTATGTTTGTAATTTGGATGAAAGAGAGCATTTACGAAAGAGTGTGTGAATGCATACGTGAGAGTTTATAAATAGAAGTTACGTCAGTAGATTGTAAGTGAATGATCATGGTAAGATAAGTGTTTTTACAAACTATTTCTGGGCGAGCAGCCGACGGCGTGCAGACGGATGAAGATCACTTCGAAGTTTGACAAAATTCATGACTTGACCATTTTGGATAACCTTTCCTTGACCTCGAGTACATCGACTGTGTGATTAGACTCAGTCATGTGGTGCGTAATTGCAGTCTCCCCGATCCTTATCAATCCCTGGTGCAACCAACTAGGGTGATGCTCTTTGATGGTATCGGACAGACGTCCCACCGTTTGACCTGCTTCATGTGCGCAGGAAGAACCGGTGAGTTGGTTACCACAAAATGAGGTCACCTCCCGGGGGAATCTGCCTATCGTCTGCCCAGGAATAACAGGTTTTGACGTGAGTATAATGCGGGGATCAGTGAAGATCATAAAACTGATGGACGATAGAATTCGTCTTCTCCCTGAATGGGGTGAAGAGATAGATATGCCTCTTACTTCCTGTGTCGTATAACGCCATCTGGAGGAAGGTGGAGTGTGACATCATGTTTTAAGAATGAATGACTCCGGGTATTCATTATGTAGAAAAATATTTTGCATTTTCCCGCTCGAAATCCGTTGAGTTCGAAGAACAAATTTTATTCTCATTAACCAAGAAATGAATCATATTTTTCTTCTGCTACGATGGGACGAAGTT